TATGCCAGATGCTAAAGTAGTGAGTGATTTTGTTTTAGATACCTTAAAAAACAAAGTTAAGCATTGTTAGAATAAATGACAATATAGTAAGACAGACTGATGAAGAAGACTTAAACCTTCTAATAGCCTGGTGAATAGGCTACTGTTTAGATGAGTAAACTGAGGCACATGAAATCCCCATGTTATGGCTCCATTGTAAAATGTTTATTGTTTACTTGTCTGTCTTGTCCTAACAGTGCCGTACACCACACAACACTTTTTTGAAAGAGCCATTTTGGCACATCTACCCACATGCTTGTACTACTGATCAAGTCTCTGCTGGATGGATGGGAGTGTGGGTGTACCCATGTCACAGTGCTCAGCCAAAATTTGTAAGCCACAGAGCAAAAGTGAGTTAAGACTGGTAAACTGAGGCAGATGCAATGCTTGTTCTTACTTTTGGTCTCTAAAAACAAACAAACAATTTACTCAAATATGGCAAGGTAACTACTCAACACAAGGTGGGCATTTTTTTTCCCCTGTTGAAACATAACCAAAACAAAAACCAGGTTTGGACTTTGAAGTCCCACATATCTCCTAATGATTCAGCAGGGTAAACTACCACCAGAGTTACTCGATTTCAGGAGAAGACTTAAGAAAAACAGCACTGAATTCATAGCCAATGACTGCTGTACACTTTTATTAATTCGTTATCTGTTTACTACCAAACTAGTTCACAAAAGGAATTTATATAAACTAATTTATTAAGATAAGAATATTGAACTGCAACCAATTCTGAATTAAGAATAGTTCAAGAGATTTTTTTTAATAAACAAATTCAATAGTTTATTTTAAGATGGAAAGCAGGCAACTGGCCAAGGATCTGCTGAGATCTGTCCTAGAAGCTGAGGAAGTTTTCCTTGAAAACTTACCTTTTGAGAAGCTTTCTTGGCAGGCACAGTCTCCTCATCTTTATATTCAACAATTGTAGTTACTTTAACTAAAAAAACCCCAAACAGGAATAGAAATACAGGGAACGTTAATAGCTCCAGCAATGGACACACAACAAATGTATTTAGCTATATATTGACTGTTAGTAGACAAGTAGCAATTGATTCACCATTTGATAGACATTTGGCACTCAGTTCAGTGCTTAAGTGGAATTCACCTGTACCCACCATCATAGCTATGACATATGGATGACCACCCTCAATGACATGCTGGGAGGGAAGAATATCAAGTCACCCTTAAAGGTGACCGCCTCTGAAGAAGGTTCAGTGCACTGACAGAGGTGCACCCTTCCTACAGTGCCTGTTCTGAGATTAAAGAGTAAACTATTTCTTTGAGAGACAAGGCAGGTGAGACCATAACAAAAATTGGTCTAATAAAAGCTGAGAGAAATAAGGTTTTAAGCCATCCAGAGCTCAAGACTTGGAAAGGTACTAGGAGCACCACAGCTAAATACTAAGTCAGACAAAGTTCAGCACAAGTTGGCATGCACATATTTTAAGACACCATACAGGGTGAAGTGGCCCACTAACACCTGTAGAGGCAGAGGACAAAGGAGTTAGTGAGGTACCAATTGTTGTCATAATCCATAAAGTCAGCATCTTTCCCCCATACTAAGAGTCATGAGGTTTAGAGAGTTTGTAATTTAAACTCCTACTCATCTTTTGAGCATCTGCCTGTTTCCTTTGAAGAGAAGGACTACAAGAAGTCCACAGGGATTGCTAATTCTCACAGAATGGCTCATAAAATAGGGGATTGGAATGAGACTCCAAGAGACTTGCATTCTACACTCAGCTCTGCCTCTGACTTGTGTGACCTCAGGAAACCTATTTCACCTCGTTTTACAATAAAGGGAACACAGAGGATTTACCCGGCATTGCTCAGGGCCTTCACTGAAATAAGTTTTGTTTTTCTTCATTTAAATAACTGCTCTAAGGTGGGGCTGGGATGAGGGGTTCAGTGTGCAGGCAGCCCCAGGGAGTGGACAAGCCCAGCCCTCTCAGCAGCAGCAGCTTGGAGCCAGGTGAGACACCTGTCTCTGGCTGCAGCAGCATGCTGTTAGGGGAGGCTGCAGGACAGACACACTCGTATAGAATAGTCCTTTTCTCCATCCCTTCAACCCCAATGGGGTTATAGATGTCCTGGTCCCCATCTGACCCCTTGCTGCTCCCCATGGTCATTACTCAGTATAACTATCCCTGCTAGCAGAGCCTTCCCTTTCCATTTTATGAGAAACAACTGCATTCCAGGCACATTCCATTGTCCTGGCACAATCAAACCCCTGCCTCACTAAGTTATGATGAGAGGAAGCTGCATATCACATTTGGTGTCCCTAGCTCTTACCATTTACGAGTTTTTGAACAGACTCCTGGACAGACAGACACTCTCTCAAATATATAGCAGAAGATGAGCAGATTTTACTCAATGCCCAGTGCCATGTTGTACCACTCCACCTCTCTTCCTCCACTCCCTAATATCTATTGGGACTTTTTAAAAGAGACTTTTTTAGTTTGGAAAAGATAAAATTGAGTTCTATAAAATCATGGCTGATGCAGAGAAAGTACATGAAGCGCTAGAGTCCTCAAATGAAATGAATAGGCAGCAGGTTTAAAACAAATGAAAGGAATTATTTTTTCCACACAATGCAGTCAATTTGTGGAACTCTTTGCCAAAAAAGATTGAAAGCCAAGGCTAAAATGGTTTAAATTAAAAACCCAAAACAAAAAAACATGAACGAGGTAAGTTCATGGAAGACAGGTCCAGCAATGGCTATTACCCAAGCTAAGCAGGCATGATGTCCTTAGCATCTGTTTGCCAAAAACTGGGAATAGATCACCTCTACAACACATAGCATTGACCACTATTGAAAGAAAGAATGCTGAGCTATATGGACTTTGGTCTGACCCAGTATGGCTGTTCTTATGCAGGCTTTACTATAGTAAATTATACAGTCAGTGTACCAAAGAGAATCCTAACAATACTACTTTTCCCGTCATTAAATATATATAATAATTTCTTTAAAAAAAATCAGATACTAAAGTCCCCAACAAGAATTTATTCACCTTTTCTGCTGCAGTTTCTCACCACTTTGGTATTTGGAATGTCCTCTACAGAGCAGTCATTCTATAAGATATTTAAATAAAACGGAGAGCTATACAATCAGTAAACTTCCCCAAGATATGTATTCGTTAACCTAGGGAGAAGGTGACTGAGTTTGTAAAGAAAATGGATACAAGATATCTTCAGAAATTTTCCAGCATAGAGGGAAAAATTATGCTTAGCAAAGCCATTTTCAGCCACATGCACAAGACAAGATACGAGTGAATAACTAAACTTGAAGTTCTCTCAACAATAGGGTTGTTAAAATGCATGTATTTAGGTAAACACCTAACTGCTGAAAACTTCAACAGTTTCATATATACAAGGGAGGGTGCAGGCTCATCAGTTAACCATTTACACTTTCACATCCCTAGTCAATAATATCTGTAAGTTACTCTAAAAGGGTCACTTTCACTATTATAGGCCATTGTGCCCTGCCATTTTTTTGGTTTGGCTTTTTTCCCTTAAAATAAGCTAATAGAAAAGAATGTTCCTTTTAAGATTTCTTTATGTCATTGGTAAGGATTTAAGAGACTTTCCATATTTAAAATTTCTGCTACAATTTACAAACACTTACCGCTACAACAGCAGCAGCTACAACAGCGGCTTCCTCTCCTCCTTGCAGGTCTGCAACAGAAGAAAAAAAAAAGTACCCTGTTTATAGTAACTACTATTTGTTTAACTAGGGTCTATGCATTTCTAGGTTGGATTCTCAAACTTCATTGCACCAGAACCCCTTTTTACAACAAAAATTACGACACTTGTGTAAAGCCTCCACCCAATCCAGTATAATGTGAATGTAAGACATTTATCTTTTCGTATTAGAAGTCATGTCAGTTTAAGCCATTGCAAGTCAGGCAGCTCTCAGCTATTGTAAGCCACGTAACTCTGTTCCAGGTTATGTCTTACAATAGAATCTGACATGTAGTTTTATTGTAAGCCATGTAACTTTCATGTAATGTTTCAAGTTCTGTAACTTCCAGCTATTGCTAGTACAGTACAATCTTTAAGCGCTGTAACAGTCTATCCTGTGACAGAGGAATGAGTGGGTAGTGTAAATGGCGTGTGTAGGGTAACATCTACGCCTTTGTAGAGAGGAACTGCAAGGCTACAGAGAGAAGCTAGGGGCTAGGTGGGGTCTGATGTAATCTTCGCTTGCACATGAGAAAGATAAGAAATGGAGGGGCAGCGAAGATGGGAAGGAATTAATATGCATGAGGAAAATGAAGTCTGGGTGGGCCTCTCGGTGAGAGAGACAGAGCAAGAACTCAGTGTCTGTGACAGGGGCTGCCCAGCTCAATAAAGAGAGAGCATGCAGACCATGGGTTGTACAATCAGCTAGCTAACCCACATTGGTGATTGCAGGCAGGCACACTGGACCCACCACGTTTGGCTTCTTCTGCTCTCTCTGCACAACTAGTCGCGTGCATAAGTGTCTGAATTAGGGATGTGAACGACTAGTCGCTTCCCCCCCCACCTCTATCAAAGAAAGGCAGCAAGGGGGAAGTAGGAGTACTTCAAAGTGGCAGAGATGCTTGAAGCCTGGGGCCAGACCCCAGGCTCCACGCGATGCTGCCACTTTGAAATGCCACGTGCAGCCCAGGATCTGCTGGTGAATCTCTAGGGCTCTTGCTGCACTTCAAAGGTGGAGGCACCCTATAGACTAATCAAATATTCAATGCAAAATGTAATTAGTCAGTTACCCAATACTTAACATCCTTAGTCTGAATGTGTGTTCCAAAAGAGTTCCATTCCCTTATTGCTTGATCCAATAGCAGCACTGAATAAATAAATGTAAGTGTAACCCTGGGCTTGTCTCCAGTGAAATTAGGTAACATTAATGATCCCGGGGGATAGGGGTGGGGCCAAGGCCTGAGCTTCTCTGCCCAAGACTGGGGGCCTGTAACCTGAGTCCTGCTACCAAGGGCTAAAACCCTCGGGCTTCAACTTTTCCGTGTAGGGCAGTGGTGATCAGACTTCAGCCCTGAGTCCCAGCAAGTCAGTCCAGGCAACCCTATTAAAATGGTGTCCTGACCAATGTTTCCTTTAATTTATTCAATTCATATTTTGAATAAATGTTGTTACATGCATGAAGGCATTGTGACTATGCATCACCAGTAGAAACACATGATGCTATGGGCGCTGTGCTAATCAGCTGACCAGCATTTGGATCTCTCCTGGGTGGCCCCCCAATCTCACCGCTTGCAAGGAACATTGGACCCAACCTACTCTGGGGTCCTGACCAACAGTTTCAGAACCACTGTTCTAGATGGAGAGAGCCTGGAATAGACCAAGTGATACAGCTGGAGACAAAATTATGGTGCACAAGTGTCGCAAGAAATTGCTCTGGCCTGGGTTAGTATGTCATTTGTACAATTTTAGTCTTGTAAGAAAGAAGGTAAAAGCTTGTCTCAACTCAATGAATGCATAAGCAAGCTGGAACGTGAATCTACAGAGCACTAGTATGCCATGCTCTCCCCATCCATGTGGGCTCTGATGCTGCATAGGAATAGGTCAAAGTACACCAGGCTAAGGAACTTTTAGTACATGGCAACAACGTCCGCATGGACAGTTAGTAGGCAGCAAGCTTGTGCACTGTAGATTTATACCCCCAAATACCTCACACTAATTCAACATATGAACAAGCCCTTAAGAATTCAATCATGAAATGAAGTCTGACAGCTCAGATACTAGCTTTCCTTACTACTCTAGGGTGCTGATAGCTCTAGGGTGCTGACATCTCTGGAGGAGCTAAATATAGTCCCACAAGACATGTTCGTAACTGAAAGGGAAGGGCAGCTTGTATTTAAGGCACTTGTCACAGTTAACTATTTTACACTAAAATTTTGACAGAAGCGAAGCATCTAAATCCACTTTGATTAACCCTAGATTCAATAAGCACTTCCCATTTTGGTCTTAATTTGGTCCCCTACAAGAATTTCACTTTGGAAGAGAAACTTCTGAAACCAATATTCTAATAGCAGCAAATAACTGCTGTTGGCTATCACAGATTGAACTGCTTCTATTATTTTGCAAGTGCAAGCTGGGATCAAAATAGTCTTAAACCTAATTACTAACATGGTGAAAAGACTTAATAGCATAAGGCGTTCCATTGCTTAGAGGCTTCAAATCCAAAAAGCGTCTAATACAGTGTTCACCAACCAGTAGATCAGGATCTACTGTTAGATCTTGGTGCCTCTGACAGGTGATCCTGACTGGTTTGGCCAATAGGTTATCAAGCCCAGCACTTCACCTGCCACCCCACAAGACTGCTGCACATTTCCTACCCTTTGCCTTGGAGTTGTTCCCTCAGGAGCCTCCTGCTTGCTGTGCAGGGCAGGAGAGGGAGAGGAGGGAACGCTGATGTCACAAGGTGTCCCCTCTCCATCCTATCTCCACAGAGCGGAGAGGGGGCACAACAGGACTGGGAATGGAGTTTGCTGGCTGCTTTAGGGAGTGCTGCAGGGCCAGGACAGGGGTGAGACTGCCTTAGCCCCACTGCACGATCACCCAGCAGCCACCTGAGGTAAGCAGTGCCCAGCTAGTGCCCACATCCTAAAACCTTACCCCAGTCATGATTCCCCCCCTCCCCCCCAGACCACAAGCCCCTGCCCTCGTCCTGAGCATCCCTGCCTCCAAACCCCTTCTGGCACGCCAACTGCCTGCCCCAGGCTCAGCTCAGAGCCCCTCTAACAATCCAGATCCCTTAATCTAAGGCCAGAGCCTGCAGCCCAAGCCTCTGCCCCTGGTGAAAATGAGGGAGGACTGAGCAAGCAGGGGTGGGGCCTCGGAGAAGGGGCACAAAAGAGGCAGGGCAAGGGTATTTGGATTTCAGGTAGCTCTTGGATTGCACTTAAATTCAAGAAGTGATCTCATGCTTAAAAAGGTTGGAGACCACTGCTCTAATATATAGAAAGCCACCCAGAAGTTCTGGGTGGGTTGCAGGAATTATTAGGTGACGTTCTAGAGCCTGTGATGCACAGTCACACCAGCTGATCATAAGTTCTATTCTTAATGATTGCATCACAATTAAAATTTAACATGTGAAGTCAATCAACAAAGTAGCTTATCAAAAGCCAATGGCAAACAGTCTACAAGGAGGTGCACAGCTACACTTACGACATGAAAGTAGTGTTATGCATGCTGCGTGCATTCCAAGAAAACCCACACTTACTAAGCAAGTCTTTTCTTTTCATTTTTCTGACAGCAACTGGCATCTTCAGCAACTCCACTCTAAACGCTTTCTCAGCAGTTTGCAAAAGTGAATCAATTTCTTTCTTCATTTCTTGAAGATTCTCTTTGGCTTAAAAAAAGAAAAAAAAAAGACCCCTGTTACTAAGTGTACAAAGCACTGCCAAGTAGATTAATAGTTTGCCTTTTGGATGGCATGTTTGTTCTAGGCCAAGTTAAGATCATGATTTACAGGGATCAGTCAGTTTGATTAGAAGTTAAATGTAATACCAAGTAGACTATGAATTATCTAGTGTCACATGTTCCTAGAATCGGTCAGTTCTCAAACTGGTCAACAGTTCAACATTTTAAAACATTATCTTTAGATGACCTCATCATCTTAATTGTCAAGCGTCTCTGTTAATAATTAGGCCTCAGGACACCCCTGAAAGGTACAAAAATACCATCCTATTTTACAGATAGATGAAAGAAGAGATTATTATCTGCCTTCCCCAAGGTTACACAGAAACTGAAAACATATCTAAGTTCTAGTCCAGTGCTTTAGACATTAAAAATGATTTTCCTGGAGAGAAGAGCCCTAGACTAGCCCTTAAATAGAGGGAAGGAAAGATTGCCTAAAATTTGATTTAGTGACCTGAAGTGTTATTAATGTATTCTTTTATTTAAAGGAATAATAGAGGTCTGCATAGATTCAAAATTGGTATCCACAAAAGTGAGCCACAGATATCTGCATCCACATCCATGGATGCAGATACCCATGGATATGAAGCTATCATTACCTCATTTGAGCTAGCAAACCAATTTGTAGAGTCACACCCACAAACTTAAGGATTGATTTTTCAAATGTGCTGCACAAATCTATGGCTGTCCAGCAACTTAACCTAGTTTAGCATCTTTGGAAAACTATTTCTCAATGGCAGTTAGCCATTCGGTGCCTTGTCAGGCACTTTACAATATCAAAAGTTAACCTTTAATAAGACGTGAATTTACAAAAGTGCCTTTTTATTGTATTGCAAAGCTGTTTGAATTGCCAGACTCATCTGATCAAATGTAGACTTCAGCAGCCATTTCCTTGTCCATTTCAGTGCAACTGATCAGTAAATATTAGAAGGGCTCTGTTGACTTTTAATAAAATAGTTCCAAAAAGTCTAGTTCAATTACATTTCTAGTTCAATTTCCTGTGACAACATCAATAGGAATCTTAAATATCCGGACCAATGTCACATGAGGTTTTCTTTTTGAACTAAATATTGATTATAATTCATGTAGTTAGAAATCAAATGTAAATGCACATTTGTTAGTTCTGCAGACAACAGTTATCCCAATCGAAGTTTAACAAGGTAGTCTGTAAACCAATTATTAGGTTTAAAATGCAGACTGAAGTTTCCACATTCTTAACAAGATGAACAGACATTAATTCTATGAAGATGCTAATGCCCATTACCCACAGTCTCTTTGCATAAATCCAAACTTCATTTATTAGGGCCCACAAGCTTTAGGTTTTTTGGTGTTTTTTTTTAAATGAGTTTCCATTTATCATGGAGTCTCTCCTGCAAGTTTCTCTCCATTTTCCCCTTTTAAAGCACCAGCCTTAGTGAATTAAGTATAGGACAGGATGATAAAGACAACAAGCCAAAAATGTAAGTAGTACAGTCTAACGGGAAATAATGTTTTTCTTTGCTACGTACCTCCACTTCAAGTGGAAGATAGGAAGTGGGGCATTGAGCGAATACAACAGGCAGCATCCCACAACAAAAGCAAGGATTCACTTGGTAAGTGATAATTACCCCTCTTCGTATTACCAATTAATTGGTATCAGGAGCCCAGACTCAGTAACCACCAGACTGCTGCCCTCCACTCCTCCTAGTGCATCCCCTAGCCCACCTGCTGCCCCAGGCTATCTAAAACAGCCCGGCTAGAGCAGCCGCTGGCATATCACTGTGGTCCCTGTGTGGGAGGGGACAGCTGCCTGCTGCCCCCACCCTAAGAGCCAATGGGAAGCAGCAGGATAGTGCCTGCAGACAGCAGAACACAAAAATCCCCCTCATCCTACTAGCCACTGCCATAGGGGGGTGTCCCGGGTAAGTGCCACAACCCCACCCCCATCCCCATCCCTCTCTCCCAGAGCCTGTACTCCCAACCCCTCCAAATGCCCTTCTGCAGCCCCTTAACTCCTTCCCAGAGCCCACAGCCCTTAACCCCTCACCCTCTGCCCCAGCCCACAGCCTGCAATTCAGACCTGCTCCCAAAACCTGCACCCCCACCCCAGTCTCCCGCACTCCAGTCCCCAGCCCACAGCCTGCAATCCAGACCCCCTCCCAAAACCTGCACCCCCACCCCCTCCTGCACCCCAGTCTCCTGCCCTAGCCCAGAGCCTGCAATTCAGACCCCCTCCCAAAGCCTGCGCCCCCACCTGCACCCCAGTCCCAGCTCACAGCCTGCACCCCTGCCCCAGCCCAGGATCTGCCCCCTAGCGCCATCCCAGAGCCACAGGCGGGGGGGGGACGGGGGGGGGGGGCGGGGCACCACCACCACA